AGCTCTGGATGGTTCTTGTACCTGTAAGCCCAAGCAACGCATAGCGGCTCTGCCTGGCCTCCGTCACACAGGCGTTCCCACAGGACAGAGGTGTTCTGCACTGTCAGCACAATATTCCTGCCAGGTCAGTTCACCTTCAGAGTTATCACGTGTCAGTATTATGAAGCTCCTGTGTGCAAAACTAGAGAAAAGCAAGGCTTGTCCACATGCAGGTTTCTACCAACGGCCTCACACTGACTCTCTCCTGCCAGAGCCACACCTGGCACAGCTTTGGAGGTGAAAAGTTTGATCCAGAGCAGATGTACACCAGCACAACACAGCCAAGCTATGTGAAAAGGAATTGAGAGGCTCCAAGCCTGTGGGTTTGAAGGCATGGGTTATATCAGAGCTGTCTTCCCACAAGGAGGAACAAATGATTAATCACCCTGCCTTAGCTATTACAAGTCAGAGGAGACAGACTCTGCTTCCAAGCCTAAACAGGCACAGAGAAGAGCTGTGTCATGAATGTAGAAGGAAAAAAACAGCCACACTCTGACTTGTGGACTGGGCCAGAGTGCATTCCTGTTGAGAGCTCCCTTCTGAGGACGGTTTGCGTGACAGGAGGAAAGGCACAAAAGCATCCTTTGAGGAAATGGGAATGTATGCAGAGAGCTGCGGGAAGGACGGTATTAAGCCATAGAGTCTCACTGTTGGTCCTCATTGATTGTTCAGGTGGTCTGAAGTGGACAGCTTTTTTTCTCCTTTTCCCCTAGCCCTCCTATGTCTTTGCTGTGCAGTCACGTAGGTGACTCACGCAAGTGGTTTGCAGCTTATAGGAAACACTGTCTGCTCCTATTGAGCTTGCAGCTGCTCAGTGCCCCTTTTCTTGACTCTCCCCTAGAGATGGCTTCTTCCATCATCTTTGCCAAGAGTGGTGGTTCTAAGACGCAAACCTGCAGCACATGCTGTAATTCTCCTGCGCATCAGAAGATGGCTGTGAACAGCACAGAACAGGCTCAGTATATTGGTCCCTTGATGTGAGCTGCATTCTAACTTCCCCATGGACTCAGATACAGCATTACTGCACACTGCTAAACAGCTAACACATTCCACCCCAGACACAGCTGCATCTCACTGACAAGTTTTAAAATTCCCGTTTTAGTAAATCGGCAAAGAGTTTTAGGAGGGAAAAATCCTAACATCACGTGGCATTACTAATTTACTTAGTGAAATCAGCAACTGCCATCCCTGTTGGCTTTGGACCAGCAGTAGAGAAGACTGCTTCCATCTTATAGAAATGGTTTAATAAAATTGCATCTGATCTCATGACTGTAAAGAGACTGCATTTTCATCAGCCATTCCCAAGTGAAACCAATGTCCAAGGAACAGAATGGTGAGGTAATTGGGCTACTAGCAGAGGAAGGAGACAGGGTAAGAAACACCCAGTTCTCAAACCTTGATAATGCAGGGAAACATTACAGATGCTATGACAGTGGAAAACTGGGGAGAGCATGCCCAGGAGATGTAACACCGTACCAACATCACATGCCTAGCACATGCACTCACACACAGCCAGGCACCTCTGATGAGCAGGACTGACAGCTGTTAAATGAAACACAGCAAGAAGCCAAGACTAAGTGAAACATGGCAAGAAGTTAAGATTTCCTCTTCTCTTCTTTTTTAGTTAATTAGAAAAAGCAACAAAGCCACAAGCATCTGTCTGGAGTTCACACAAGTGTTTTAGGTGTCCCTAGGATGTGGTATTTGAGACTTTTCAAATCAGTATCTTCAGTTATTACCACTTCCAGCACAAGAACCACAGAGCCTTCTAACACCTCCCTGCACAGACTCTTCTCAACAATGTCGCCAAGCAAGGATCTTCTACCATAGGCACAGTCCCACCCAATCCATCTTACCCAAAACTCAGCAAACTTTCCCAGATCTGATAGCCTGGGATCCCCATCCCTCCCTCCATCTTGGTTCCCTTCTACCTTGCTCTTAGCTTCAATATAAAGGATCCTAAAACGATAATGAAGAACAAGAGGCTGGACCATGTCTTACATTATGGTACCAACCACCCTCTCAAGGATATCAGTAAAAATATAGGGACATGCTACAAATACAGGACAGAATGAGGCCCAATGCCTTGCTAATCTAAAGTATCCATCATGTTCCTAAACTCATTATTGTTACAAGACATCCTCTGCCCTTTTTTGTCTGACATTGAACCTTTTTTTTTTTTAACCTGTGCTGAGAGCAGTTATATTTGGTGGCAGGGAACTACAGGGAACAAAGAAAAAAAAATTCACCGTTGTCTTTGAAAGCAACAGCACCAACAACTTTCAAGGGCAAAACATGGATTAGAAGGTGAGTAAATACAGCACTTGCTGTAAAATCTGGTCCATAGAAGATTTTAAGGAGAGTTCTGGCCGAAGGATAGAGCTGTTTATCTGCTTGATCCTTTTATTATTAATTTACAGCTTTTTCCTCTGTTGACCAAAACCAAGATACATGTTTTCTTTTCTTGGCCTCTTTAAACTAATACTAACCCTTTACTAACCATGAAAGGAAAGAGCCAAGACATTCCACGTGACTTTTGCTTTTCTTTGAAGACTAGGCCAAAGTCTTGCATATTCATTACCACATCAAGAAAACTTTGCCCGAGGCCTGCATTTCTTGGTGTGCTGTAATGAGTTCAGGACCCCAGCTGTCTGCCTAGGGATTTAGAACACTTATATTTAATACTAAATTATAAGGCAGAATATTTCATTCCACATTTTTTTTTTTGCTGAAGTAGCATATTTATAATGGTACACTCTAAAGCCACTAAATAAAGATGGGGAGAGTACATCTTTCTCTCCGGACAACACAGTTTCCAGGTTACCACGGCCTGGCCCTAGCCAGTTCAGTTTTTGGATGTCAGTCTCTGGTTTTTAACCCATTATTGGATCTCCCCAATGTCACATCTCCCACTAGCATCCAATAATACACTGGAGCAAACTGCAATATATTCCTAGCATGTTTACAGAAGCCAGTGCAGAGCCTACTATACTAACAGCTCTAACAAGCCCTACAAAAAGCAGAGTAGCTAATAAACCTAAAATGTTCTGCAGTTAGTCCTTGGAAGTTTGCCACTGAGATGCCACAAACACCATGTCAGGGATAGTGGTTTCATCAGGCTTAAACCCTGCTTTCATCTAACGAAACAGCCTAGATCCACATTCTGACAACACACCTCACAGCTTTATGCTTCCTCTGGGTTCTCTAGTGACAATCTGTGAAACATGTATAGCATCAGATCTGGACTGGGAAATTTTTTAAAGAACATCAGCATTCTGGAAGGAACAGTAGAGCAATTAGTATTTCTCTAAGTAGTGCCAGATGTGTTTAAAAGCCATAAAGATAAGGAGGAAGGGAAACCTGCATAGTTTGAATTAAAGCTAGTAAGAGCATGAACAATGCCCTCCAACAGCTGCAAGTTGACAGCAAGTTCTTGCTAATTCTTTTTCCTTATCAAATCTGTCTTTCATATCTGCTTTTCTACCTGAAGTTACAAAAGCACGCACCTCCTCAGAGTTATTGTGCTAGAGTAGAGCATGTTAAAGATAAAAAAGGTCAGTCCAGTTTTCCTCCAGAAAACCCCCAAGACACTCAGTGCCTCAGTTACCAGGAAAACCATGAACCACCACCTTCTGTTATGCTACCTTACCTCATTGCAATGTGAGACTGATAGGAAGACTCTTGTGTATATGTCAATCACATTAGCACCACAGGAACCACAGCCCTGTCCTTGAACATACTGTTTTGCTGTATTTCTTTCCACGTGCTTTTTTCCTGAAAGTATGGCCAGTTTTGGTTGTTCCTGGTCCATCAGAGAAAGATATACACAGCTGAGCAACATCAAAATGGGTCATAGTTCTTTTAGTCCCCTATGTGGGGATTAAAGGAAGAAGTCTTTCCTGCGACTATTTTTGATTCACATAATCTTGTCCCCACTTTGCTATATTAGCATATAGGATAGCTTCAAAAGATATCAAAAGATATCCAACTGCAAAGCTCTGTTCCAGCACACAAAATGGCAGGATCAGAACATACTCATTCCTTCACCAGCAGCAAGACACCACCAGTACATAATGCTCTGACTGAACTCCTCCTACTTCAGTTCTCTGATTTCACCTACACCTTGACATGCATAACAATGCTGTGAGTTCCAGAGCAGAACAGAAAATAAATGTCCTTCTGCTCAGGTTATGGCTTCTGTTGGCTCTATATTCCTTACTCCAGCCTTTAGGATAACTGAGGTTAGGACCTAGAATAAACACAAACCTACTTCAGAAAGGCAGAGGAGGCTTATAACCACATACTCCCCTAGGAAATCTAACCCAAATTGGAAGTCATTACTACATGGTCCCTGCAAATGTGACTTCAGCAGAGATAAGTGGGTAAGGATGCAAGTTCAGTGGTTTGGCAGTAGTGTGTCTAAAGAGGACAGTTTGTACTAGATAGCTGCATCTTAACTCCAGAGACCACACTATGTGTTTTAGCCATTACAGTGCCTTGCTCTGCTCTGCACAACCAGTCCAGTGACTAATAGCTGTCTGGAAAGAGGAAGAAAAAAACCTGTGTTTAAAGACAACTTTGTTTGCTTTTTATTTATTTTCAAGACACCAGTACTACAATTTTAAACCAAGTAACAGGTTCAGTTCAGGGACTCCCCACCAGCAATGTCTGCAAAGAGGCCAGAGATAACAGAACGTGACCTCTGAGGAAAGCCAACATTCTCCTTCATGCAATATATATGGCAAGCAATGACTTTCCATCTCCTGCCTGAAGCCAGCACCTTCTACTCCTGACAGGAAGGAGTGGAGTTCAGAGAAGGTTTCTCAGCCTTTTCAGTACAGATTTATTCCCCATTATGAAATGCAGCCCCAGAAGAGTCCACACCAAATTACACTAGATCCCACAGCGCCCACTGAAAAGAAGCCCACTGACACTTCAGCAAGAGTGTGCCTACTGGCACTTCAAAGTCCATAATCACATGCCTCAGGGCTGTTCTTCAAATAGAGCTGGAGGTAATCTTTGAATGTCTGTGGGTCAGTCATTGTAGCCTTGACAGCAGGGTCCTCCTTCATGGCCTCCATCCAGCGTTGGAGCTTTGGGGTGTGACTCAAAGAGCTATGGGGAAGGAAAGAGACTGAGTAACACAAATGGAAAACTGGGAGGGCATCAAGGAAGCAAAACAGCTTGAGAGGTTCTGGTTTACTGCTTGTTTTTCTTTTTCTCTCGTAGTATAATGTTCAGCTCAGAGCAGGTGACAGAAATACATATCAGATCATAGAAGACAAACTAGCATTCAGAAAGTGAAAAGTTCTTATAGCATACAAACACTCTGCAAAGCTGAGCAAAAATACAAATGAGCACTTACTGTGCAAAATATGAGCATGGGTTTTTTCCTACATTATCCCCCCTGCAAAAGACACAGCCCTTGTTTATCATCTAAACCAAGCTCAGGGCAGAGGCTTGTCCACCACTGCCTCCCTCTGGAATGCTTTGTTTATAATGATTCTTGAAGCAAATGCTGTGTAGAGTCGTCCTCCAAAACTCATGAACCTCTTTCTCTTCCTCTCTTTTGCATACCAAGACAATCTGTGCAGTTTGTACTACCCTGCAACCCAGCAGCTCAAAACACAGATACAGTCTACTGAGGAAACTGAGGATTCAGCCCAACAAACTAAATCTATAAATCCACTGAGACACATTTGAAAAACACACCTGTGTAGCAAATTGAAAGCTTAACAGTGCAAAATGTTACTCTCATTCTTTTCTGTCAGATTGACCCAAGTACTTTGCATTACAATTTGAAACTCCCAAGTTTAGTTGATGCATAACTTCTCCAGGTGGCATCTTTTCTTAACATACAATGGCTCAGATCCTCAATAATTCAAATACCTTCATGACTCTAGACCTATGCTCCCATAGTTTGTAATATTTCCCCTTCCAAACAAGGGCCACACAGGAGGCAAAGTAGGTGAGCAACCCATCAGTAAAGCCCTCATTTTACAGTGCCAGAAGCTTCAATGCTAAGGATTCCCTCCATTTTTCTTTTTCAAAAATGCTTCAGGCACCAGGGTGAGTCTAACTGTTCTATGCTCATCTTCCACTTTTATCACCCACTTCCTCATACAGGCTGACTCTTTAGTCTTGTTTTAAGCCAGATATAAAATAGTTTTCCTTTGATACCATTTCCCTATATATTAATGCAATACCATGGTAACTGAAGCTCTTTAAGGATGTTAAGCTGCATCCAGCTCTGGAGCCCTCAGCACAAGACAGACATGGACCTGTTGGAGTGGGTCCAGAGGAGGCCACAAAAATGACCAGAGGGGTGGAACACCTCTCCTATGAAGAAAGGCTCAGAGAGTTGGGGCTGTTCAGCCTGGAGAAGAGAAGGCGCCAGGGAGACCTTATTGCAGCCTTCCAGGACTGAAAGGGGGCTTACAAGAAAGATCGGGACAGACTGTTTAGCAGGGCCTGTGGCACTAGGACAAGTAATGATTTTAACCTAAAAGAGGATAGATTTAGACTAAATATAAGGAAGAAATTTTTCACAATCAGGGTGGTGAAACCCTGGCACAGGTTGCCCAGAGAGGTGGTAGGTGCCCCATGCACGGAAACATTCAAGGTCAGATTGGACGGGGCTCTGAGCAACCTGATCTAGATGAAGATGTCCCTGCTCATTGCAGGGGTGTTGGACTAAGTGACCTTTAAAGGTCCCTTCCAACCCAAACTATTCTATGAGTCTATGTCACAGACCAAGATGTTTATTTACATATGAACAAATGCTATTACAACAGGGGCAGATCTATTAGCTACAGCAAGGTAGGATACAGTTTACCTATCTCAAAACAAAATCATCCTCCTTTGTCAACCTAGAATTTTCAAAGAAGAACAGAAGACTGCATTTCAAGTCTGAGATTTTGGACCAAGAAGTTTGAACCTAGGCCTCCATATCTCTATCCCCTTCAAATGACTGTTTTCATCTATGATGTTAGGGATGGAGGAAAAGTCCTGTACTTTGACCACTTCTTCCGAATCTGTCAGAATTTGGTAGGAAAACAGACCTGGTGAAAGACAGCTTGTTTACAGAAGATCCCTGAACAGCTCATGTCTCTTGAGAAGATGCTTCGCCCAAACTGTAACACAACACAAACTTTCTTCAGCAACTTCCAAGAGTGCCCCATTGCTGCAGAGTGTATGCAAAGGATATTTATGCTGAGGCACTTCAGTACACACTAGAAGCTAGGCAAAGTACTCACTCCTTCAGCTGGAATGGTTCTAGACGTTCAAACCACGGCCAGATCATGTAGTCAAGCATGGAGATCGAGTCCCCACCATAAAACACAGTGTTACGCTTGGACAGAATCTGTGAGGGGCAAGAGATGACAGCTGCCTTCAGAAGGAAAATTACCACAGCAGGGCATGACAGTAACAAAACATTCCCACCTCACAGTGGAATGTAAGCATACTGAAAGGATCAGACAGCAAATAATGAAACTATAGTACATTTTTCCTGTGCATGCAATATCTGGGGTGTCAGAGCTAGTCAGTAAAGCAGCTGTAGTACCAAGCTTAACTATTTCATACACTGTCACTCCAGCTCTTCTCCTGTGGTTCAAAAACTGTCACAAAATATTAATCCCTTGCAAGCTGCAGCTTGTGCACAACCAAAAAGAAAATTAACTCTCAGAATCTGTCAGTTTGTGATTTCTTATTTACCAAAAAGCATTAATGCCACTGACTAATCAAACACACTAATGCACATGCATTTCTTGAGCAATAAATTTAATAAATTTATAATAAATATGATATAATATGTAATATATAATACAATTTATAATAATACAATATAT